AATTCAAAATGTTAATTGTGTTACTGGCTAACTAATCATAACAATTAGAACTACTTAATCGAGATTCGTGCCTCGATGTTCCCTACTCAATGCATGCCATGAATACACTGATTGTATGGCACACGCAAGCCATGCCTTTAATGAAGTATAATAGAGCTAAAGGTTAGAATAATTTACAGTAATATTGAGACTAATATTGAGAATAATAACTGTTCAAGGTGAGAGTGTTGATGACTGTAACTATATTATATAAATTTTTATATATAGGCCAATAAATAAGACATGGCCGCAATGTGATAAATATGAGGGTTAGACATATTGGGCGCCGCCATCGACCACGAAGTTGGATCCGGTCACAAACGACGCGTCATCTGACGTCATATACAACACGGCTTTTGTCACATCCATGGGTTCACCCACCCGTCCCATCGGACACTTCTTGGCCCTCTCTGCGTATAATTCATCGGATTTCGCTTTAGTCACGTTATGAATGTTTTCGATAAACTCGGTCTTAACTGGACCGGGACTTTGACCGTAAACATATTGAAAGTATCAAGCACGTTAATTTTATATTAATCAATTACTTATAAATATAAGCAAGCACATACGTAACAACGTTAGCCCGGATGCCTTTGGGGCCCAACTCAAGGGCTACGCACTTTGTGAACATATCCAGCGCCGCCTTTGACATTGAATACAATAGTTTTCTCTATCCATAAATTAAAATTAACATTATATTTAAACAGAGTAATTCAATAAGTAACTTTGCAAAAGATGCATGGCTAATTAAAGCATTGAACCTTCTTAATAGATTTTTTGAGTACATACTTAGTAAATAACCATGAATATTAAAATAAATATAAATAAAATTAATGTTTTATAAATAATTACCGGTTTAAGGGCCGCAACGCTCGATATGTTAACGATATTACCCTTAGTTTTCTCCAAATGCTCGACACATAAGTGAGTCAACCATACGACTGACCGGAGGTTTGTGTTCATAAGGAGCTCATACTTGTCGAGGATATCCTCGTCCCATATGCTCGACACTACACCCCGACCCGCGTTGTTGACCAAAATGTCCAACTTTTTGAACGTCTTAATAGTGTCTGAGACTAATCGGCGACAGTCGTCATCGTTGGTGATATCGGCCACCACTTCCAGGGCTTTAGCACCGGTAGGCGACGCCTCAGCGCACTGTTTGGCCACAGCGGACACCCTATCCTTCATGCGATCGGTGACCACCACATGAGCCCCGAGTCGAGCGAACTCTACGGCAGTGACAGCACCGATGCCACCGCCGGAGCCGGTGATCAGCACTACTTTGCCCGTGAAATCTCTGGAAGTCGTCATGAATTTTAGTCTAAAGCAAAAAATCTTAAACTTAATGTGAATCTAGAGTTTTGGTTAAAACAATAGTTTTTAAGATATAATAATGATCTTTAAATTTATTCTAGCACAAACAATATTTTCTAGAAAGTTTTGTAATGGTTTTCAAAATTCAATTTATGGAGAAATACGCAATGATTTTGTAAAATTTAAAAAAAACTATCACTTATTGATCAAGGTTATATTTTGTCATTTTTCAGCATTCTATGTAGTTTTAAAACTAGCGTTGTTTCTATGGGAAATGTTTTTAGTTTAATTCTACCATGATTCTACTGTACTATAAATATGTTATTACCAGTGTGACCAGATCGAAAATCCAAAATACTTGTATTTTTGAATAAACTCTTCAAAAAATACTTGACAAGTTTTTTTTGTAAAATACAATTAAACTATGCTTTTATAATAGTTCTAATACTATTTAATATGACAATAACTTAAAATTATGCTCAACTAAATTATTAAGTATATTGTAAGTTAAGATTAATCTGTAAACACAATCAAAAGTTTGTATAAAAAATATATTAAATTTTGTTTTTATTTTTATGGCATAATTACCCATAGATTTTGCCGTATTTCTGATACCACTGCAACTCCAGTAATGGTCGAGGATTTAGGGATAATCTCAAAAAGTTTCCGAATATAGGGATGGGTTTTGGACCAGAAATGTGTCGATCCTTCCAATAGCTGAAGGCATTCCTCCACCAACTCAATGAATGAATGAATAATTTCAAGAAATATTTTGTTTTAAGTTAATTAAAAATTAATTAAATCTAATATACAGTATGCTTAACATGTAGCGTTCCCAAATCAAAAAAATCAAATTCCTTGAGATTTTTACCTCAAAAATATCCATAAGTTACTTGATTTTTTAAATCAATTGAAATTGTCATATTTTTTGAAAATATTTCCTTAGGTTGAACCCTAAAAGCTAAAACCCGAAGAGGCCTAAACTCAAATAACTAAATAACCATTGGACATATTTTTAATTTGATTAGTGGAATAGATGTGTCTCAACCTAACCTAACCTATATTAAGTAAAATGTCCATTGACGTGACTTTATTTATTCAAGTTTAGGCCATTTGAGGTTTAAACCTTTAGGGTGAGTCCCATTGACTTAAGCATATGACCGATTACTTGAAAGTCTTTCTTGAACCTTGAGATTTGGGAAACCTACTTAAATATAGTAATAGGCGATCGCCGCCACAATGAGTCCAATGAGACACCATTCATATGTCTGGCAAATCGGTGCCAAAACTGAACCTAAAAGTAAAGTCATAATTCACGGGATGTTTAATAAATCTACTATTATTTTAAACTTAGTGGGAAGCCTCGTGAAGTGAAAGTAAATTTAGTGGTTATGATTGCCATGACTAGTTAGCCTGAAACATAATTAAAATTTTGAATTGACTAAAGTTGGCGAATTAAGTAAATTAGCTTGTTAAATTCACATTCAACTATCACTGACATGCTCATTTTGTCATTGAAATAACATTAGATTTAAATATATACAATATTATATTAGTATTTTGTGTTCATATATCGGTAATCATTTATGGAATTATGTTATATTTGACGGCACATAGCAGTTGACACTCATTTTTTGTAGAATCCATAGAACTCATGTCATTTCAATGATAAAATGAGGATGTCAGTGATGGTAGAATGTGAATTTAACAAGCTAATTTACTTGATTCGCCAACTATAGTTAATTCAAAATTTTAATTATATTACTGGCTAACTAATCATGGTAATTATAACCACTCAATTTACTTTCACTTCACGATGCTTCCAATTTAAAGTAATGTGTGTCCCATCGTATTAGCACGATTTTTAAATTAAATTTAAAATATTTACAATTATATTTTGCTAACAAAAACTATACCAAAATGTTGGAAATTTATTAAAATTTTATGTTCAATTCATAAAATATTCACCAAATGCCTACCCTGGTCATAATTGTAAATATTTTAAATTTAATTTAAAAATCGTGCTAATACGATGGGACACACATTACTTTAAATGGGAAGCCTCGTGAAGTG